CGGAAAAAAGACGAAAAGGTCACTAAAAGTTGACGGAAAAGGTCACTGAAATGTTTGTGCCATTCAGTGACTGAATGTCTACAGAAAAGACACTGAAAGCCGCCTTTCAGTTTTAACTGAAAGGTCTTGTTTCTTCCTGTGCATTTTAATTGCATAACTATTCAAGATATTCGGATCAAATTTCATACACTAATACAAATTTTAATGTTGCATTACTAATATAACCTCGACAAGGCATTCATGTACTATGGACATACTAGTACATGTATTTCTAGATTGTTTGGTTTTTTTTGTTTTTGGTTTTTTTTTTTTGATAAAGTAAATTAAAAAATATAATTTTTCCCCTTTGCACAATCTTCATTTTTTTAGGGAGATGGTTTCTTTTAAGTGTATGAATAATGCTTCAACTCTTGACAACTACTCCTTAACAACTTAAAATACCTGGTAATAAATAAAATTAGAATGTACTCCCAAATCCCCCATTTTAACTTAAAAAATCCTAAATATCAAAAATAAAATTTAAGTGGCTACTTATTCTTGAAAGTTTCATTTCCTAATAGATCAAAAACACAAGATCTTTTCTATATATTACAAAAAAAATGGAATATTTTTTTTCAATTAATATTCAGTTTTTATTACATTTTTACCCGTGAAATACTGTAATTTATTCATTGAATAAAAATGACATCCTGTCACAGTGTGAAAAGGATATCAAAATGATATCCTGTTACAGTGTGAAAGGATATCAAAATGATATCCTGTTACAGTGTGACAAATACCAGAAGTGCGGGAAAACTCTTGCTTTCTCTTAACATAATGATTGATTGATTGATTGTATACTGTTTAACGTCCCTCTCCAGAATATTTCACTGATTTGGAGACGTCACCATTGCCGGTGAAGGGCTGCAAATTTAGGCCTATGCTCGGTACTAACGGCCTTTGAACAGGGAGGGATCTTTATCGTGCCACACCTGCTGTGACACGGGGCCTCGGTTTATACGGTCTCATGCGAAGGACCGCCCCATTTAGTCGCGCCTTCTATGACAAACAAGGGGGTACTGAGGACCTATTCTAACCCGGATCTAGTTGGTAGAAAAACTCATTAGATATTAGTATATTAATTTTATAAGTTTGTTCCATTGATTTTATGGAAGGCTAAAGAAATAAAAATTTGGACATAGATTAGGTTTTGAAACTCTGATTTATAAATGGGAAGAAGGTGAGTTAAAATGACTAATATGTGTAAATAGGGACATAAGTCTTACCAGCAGTGTTACCTCATGACCTCTTTACATAATCCACAAATAGCATATGCATATTGTAAATATCATTATTAGCATTTATCTTTCTTTGATTGTATTAGGAGTAATCTAACACCTGCAGAATTAAACATTAGTGGTCATATAACAGGTTGCTCCTAATAAGTTGAGACAGTAAATGAGAAATTTCGCTGCATCACTTAATTTTCCAAATCTTTACTTTTGCCTTAAAGAGATAAAGTTATCAAATTTTATCCAGAAATGTACATGAAAAATACATATTTAACATACCATTATATGTTTTTGTCCAACTACTTCAAGTTGAAAGTTTTCTTTTTCTCCCGCGTTTTCTCTATTGTCGTCTGTTCCATTCTTTTTGGTCTCCTTTACCAGAGAACTCATGCAAGGGAGGCAATCCAATCGTTTTTCAAGAGAGATTTACAACAATTCAATCTGATATTTGACTTACATTTTTAGGAGTCTAACCAATTTTATTTATTTAATATGTTGAACAAAATATTTTCCTTCTACATGTATACATGTATCTAGAAATTTCTAAAGGTGCACAGGTATTGTAAACCACATAGCCCTTTATGGGATATAATTCTATCATTAAGATCTGAATAAAATTAAGCACAAATGAAATTTTATTTATAAAGCAGAAATTATAGTTCAAAGCACTTTATGATCCACATTATCAAATTATACATTGGGTTTTGATGTAGAATATATGAATTCTAACAAGCCAGTCCAAATATTTCTCTGATAAAGTATGACAAAATGCTGTGGTTGCCATGGAAACAAGAGGTCATAATATGCGTAGGTGTATATATTTTTATAGAATGACTAATCAAATGCACCATGCTCACAAAATTTGAGCAAGAACTTAATTTTTCCACTTTCAATGTTTATATAGGGTGAAGCTCAATGCTTACTGACATGGCCTCAATCTTAATTTTGGTCGATAAAGAGATGGAACAAATTTGCAGAAATAGATTTAATCTCACAGCCAAACAATGATACAGAAGTAGCTTTTAAATGAAGGACATTCCAGCACCTCACAACTTCCAGCAAATTCGAAGCTACTGATGAATGTAAACACATGGTAATAAAATGGTACAGTGCATTAATCATTCTCAATACATTTTTAAAAACTGCATTGTCAAGTTTTATTGAAAAATATTATTTGCAATGCCAGAAATTGGCTAATTTTTGCATGTAATCCTTCGTTTTTGATATCTTTGTCTTTGAATTGATTATTCATAGTTTAGGACAGGCGCAAGATATTATTTATTAAGTGTTCGTCAATTTTCACTAAAATATAATTTTGGAATAAAAGTATGAGATTGAACACAATTTTAACATTTTTCGTAATACAAATTTATATTCATTACATCAAATTGTACATTGTATGGATAATCAACTAAAAGAGGTACCACTCTGTCTACTCAGAAGACCAACAAAATCCTTTAGAAAGTACTAATTATGTGATCAACACAAACCTCAGAACTCTAACACCTAGATTTAAATAAAAAATTACTTTTTAAAGGAGACATTTCGACAAATCCGAGTATCACTGAAGATACATAAATTGTCTAAATGCGTATCTGGTGCATCAAAAGTGGTACCGTATAAGATTTACATCTTACCTTGGAATGGTTTCATGTTCTGGACTGTTTCATGACCCCAGGTGAAAATACAAAACGTTTCTATTAAAATGCTCTGGTTTTGTAACATGAATGCATCTTGGTGAAATTTTTTGCAACACATCTATTGATACGAATATAAATAAATGTTTGCAATATATATATTTTTTCATATACCGTATGTTTTCCTTTAAACAATTAAGAAGGCATCTTAAGTAGTAACCTCTAATAAAACGTTTAAAATTTTAAGTAAGTAATCCCCCCAACTCCCGGAAAAGAGGAAAAAAACAACGTCGAAGTAACTTTTATTCAATGTCTAGTCAATATTGATTTTCAATATTAAATCAACGTGAAGATTTCAACGTTGAACTCAATCTTCAAAATCTTACATAAACTAAATGTTGAATCAGCATATATAATCTACGTTGATTCAAAGTTTTTTTTTTCAATGTTGTGTGCCTGCTGGGAAAGAAACTATTAATATTTGTCCAAGCAAAGTTGTAATTAATCAAATATTTTGATTTTTACTTTACTTTCCTTTACATGCAAGAAATATAACCAGCTTATTTTTCCTTTATTTTCGTCGTATTTTTTCACCACAGTCAGTTAACCACTTTTCATTAGAGAAACTTGTTTTTTATTTTTTTTAAACGCTATGAAATCATTTTCATTTTTTCAATGACATTATTGTAAAAACAGATAGTTATAAACAATTAACTCGGACAATATCGATCATCTGCAGAGCAGCGTGACACTTATCTTTACAACAACAACTCGGTAGCTAGATTATAGGATAATGTTTTAAATTACATTGACAGCACTGTGTATTTTAACACACTTTAAAGGTAACTTTGACAAAGATATTAATACAGTAACATGCAAGGTATTTAAACAACATAACCTGAATAAAGCTCAGATTCAAGAACCAACACCAGGAAGATTGTTGTAGCTAGATAGGCCATCTTGAAATAAGAGGTAGGAAACTGTAAAAAAAAAAAATCGTGCTTCTTAGGCTAGGTGTTTAATTTAAAGCCTTTTCCTCTTTCAATTCAAAAATTGATATAATGTCAATTCTTTTAATAACTGTGATAATTCATTTTCAGTTCTATAAGTGGTGAAGTGAATGAGGTACTAAATGGTCCTCTGTATATAGTTAGTTTTCCTTTCTTAAAATAGACTTAATAGCTACTCCCCTTGTAATTTTAGCGTTTATTTACAAATCAGAATGTACCTTTCACCAGTTCATCATATTTTCTTTATACATGTTTATTTAACACACACTATAGATTTTATCTTAACATCATAATATTACAGCCGAGCTTCATCATATGATTGAGACACTTATGATAGAACCCCGATCCTTTAATAATGTCAAATAAGTTGAATTTTATTTTTCATTACAGGGTATTCTATTTGTTTGACCAAAACGCCAGTTATGGACCCCCGATACTGTGCCCAAGACATCCTCCTCTGTGACCTCTGTCAAAAAGTTGCATTACAGAGTCATTGTGAACTTTGTCAGATTAACCTATGTAAGGTTTGTGTAGGAGATCACCTCTCTGATTCATCCATAAGACACAACGTTGTGCCATACACACATAAGACTTCTTTTCCTAATAACCCAAAATGCCGATACCACGACCAGAAACATTGTGAAAATTACTGTGAGAAATGTAACATTCCTGTATGTTCTACCTGCCTTTCCTCTGGAAAACATAAAGGACATGATTTATCTGATGCTCTGCAAAAAATAAGTTCTAAAACAGAAGACTTAGAAAAAGATTTAAAAGAACTCCAAGAATATATTTATCCTACATATGAAAAAATTAGAGTTGATTTGAACTCTAAGATAGATTACTTGCGAAAACATTATGAGAAACTGACAACAGCTGTCACCGAACAAGGAGAAGACTGGCACAGAGAAATTAACATCATTGTCAACAAACAAAAAACCAAAATTGAAGAGATGAAATCAAGACACCTTGCTGTTCTGAATAAAGACGAAAATCAATTTAAACAGATAACTTTTGAATTAAAACAGAGTATTTTAGACATAAATAAAATACTCGACTCAAATGATGTTTTCCTCCTCTTAATGTACAAATCAAAAATTGCTGAATTCAAACATTGTCCACCGAAAGTCATCGTATCCTATCCAAGGTTTTTTCCTCAACAGATCAACACAGAACAGCTCCATCAATGTTTTGGTTTTTTGTCAGCATTATCTATTACAACAGAAGAACATGGCTACACAATAAGGACATCAGAATCTGCATCCTGTCCTCCGGTCAAACCACTTCTTGATGTACCAGAGCTCATCACCACCATAGACACTGGGTATATGTCCAATGTTACCAATCTCAATGATAAAGAAATCTGGACTTGCGGAAAAGACAAAATCATTAAACTTTACAATCTTCAGGGGGAACAACTGAAAGCATTCCAAACAAAATATAAAGTTCGTGATATAGCGGTTACAAGGAATGGAGATCTAGTTTACACTGAGCCCAGTGAATGTGCTGTAAACATGATAAAGAATGGCCTGATACAGGAAGTGATCCGACAACAGGGATGGATACCTTACTATGTATGCAGTACGTTCTCTGGTGATCTCCTGGTCACCATGAACCGTGAAAATGAACAAACAAAAGTTGTCCGTTTCTTTGACTATACAGAAAAACAAACCATTCAGTTTGATAGTAAAGGTAAACCTTTGTATTCACCTTACTACAGTAAATACATCAGTGAGAACAGGAACCTGGATATCTGTGTGGCTGACTCTGACGCCCATGCAGTAGTGGTCGTTAATCAGGCAGGTAAACTCCGATTTCGATATACAGGTCTGCCCTCTAATAAAAAAGAATCATTCTGTCCACGTGGCATCACAACAGACAGCCAGAGTCAGATCCTGACAGCAGACACATACAACCACTGTATCCACATTCTAGATCAGGATGGACAATTCCTCTCTTACATTGATAACTGTTTCTTACAACGTCCATGGGGTTTATGTGTAGACTCCAAAGACAACCTCTTTGTGGCTGAATACGGTCGCTGTAAAGTGAAGAAAATCAAATACATGTAAAAGATCCAACATGAAGAATAATAATTGCAATACAGTGCATTTTTTTTTTAAACTTTCATCAAGTGAGTTGATCATTACATTAACATTTTGTAAAATATTGTTTATGAAAGAATTTACATTGGAAATACAGAGTACGACATATGTCAAATATAAAATAGAAAAGGATCTCGTCACAAAGAAAGAAACACTTAGCATATGAAATCCATGGTTCCAACTAATGACGTTTTTGCAGGAAATCTGACATATGGCAAACAAAATAGACGGAAAGGTCAAAAATAGATTGAAAAGAATTAAACTATGAGAATACGGACCCAATCCCAAGGAAATCCAGAGAATCATTTTAAAAATGTCAGAAGGATTGCAAAAACAAATAATCATTTTAAATTACTTCTAGATTTTTCTTTGGATATATAGCTGTCACCCCCCACAGACTTTTAAGGGAGTGCCTAAGGGTTTAGCCACCAGAATTCGACGCATCTGTTCGTCCCCTGCCTTATTCCAGGAGCAAAGTGGTCTTCTTAAGTTCCACTTATGCAAAAGATGCTACAATGCCCGCACAGTACAAACAGCTATTGATGAGATGGAGGGACATGACAGACAAAACCTATTATGCTACAAGGAGAAAGACAATAGCAGCAGGGTCCCTCTGGTAACCACATACCATCCTGTCCTTAAGAACCTTATCCTTCAAAAGAACCTACCAATTCTCCATTCAAACAAACGAATGGCAGCACTGGATGAAAAATACAGTTTCCGCATGGTTGAAACTCTACTGAAACTCTGCGGAAACTTAAGGTTACTAATGGTTTCTGCAAAGTTTCAGTGCGGAAACTTCGTTTCATCAAGTTTCCGCAGTGCGGAAACCAAAGGTGTCCACGAATTCAAATAGTTTCCGCAACTGAAACTTGCTGAAACCTGAGGTATATGCAAGGTTTCAGCATGCGTATACTGTTGAAATACGTATGGTGTACCATAGGTTTCCGCAACTGAAACTTGCTGAAACTTGAGGTATACGCAAGGTTTCAGTATGCGAATGCGGTTGAAATACATATGGTTTACCAATGGTTTCCGCAACAGAAACTTGCTGAAACTTGAGGCATACGCAAGGTTTCAGTATGCGTTTACAATATTGATATACATAGGGTATACTATAGGTTCCCGCAACGGAAACTGTAGTATTGACTACACAATTTAGCCCTGGTTTTCAACCAAAAGTCATTTTCCCCCTGAATTCACATACTGGAAAAAACAACAACACACTAACACTTGTTATCAAAGAATATCAAATGTTATTTTCAACATTTACATACATCGTGTTGAACATTTATTTTCTCTTGCATCATAAACATTTTTTGCAGTTAAGTCCGAGCCCTCAAGTCACGACAAGAGGACAGAGAAAATGTCTGCATTTAATGATGTCTCATACATCAGAGATATAATCTTGCGAGAGGAACTTAGAACTGCATTACTGCAACCAATCAACTTAACCTGAATTCGGTTTATGCAAGTCTAGTATTATCAAGGAAATGAAACATTACTTGGTATAATAAATGCACAAGTTCACATCATGAGTAGCCAATAAGCACCAAGGTGGATTTCTTAGTTAAAAATTCAGTTTGTAGTCCATCATCAACGAACAGAAAAGTCCTTGAGTGGTTCTCATTTTTTGATGACCCACTTACACTTATCATGCTTATGCTATTGGTGGCTGTATGTTTTCGGAACTGTGCAACACATCACTGTAGTCTGCATGTATGACCTGTTCCAGTTTCAGACGACTTTAAAAATATCAATGCTTGAGTATAGAGAGACTTGTTTTCATCCTTGGAGAAATGATATCATGTTCAAGTTGGATTGATCTGCTCATCAGTTATTTCAACCTATTGAAAATATATATAAATATAGTTTAACAAAATCCCAATCTAAATAAAACAACATGTTAGATCCTCTCGCATACTCGCTACACAACATGATCACATCTAACAACATCCCATAGAAGGTCACGTCAGATGTCAAATACGGAACAACTCTAGCCTTATTCATTCCAATATATAAAAAACAATAATTTTGCAGTTGACTATTTGATTGGTTAATAGAATTTGACCTCTGACATGACACTCTACAGGATGTTGTTAGATTAAGTCAGTATCTAACATTTAATATTGATTGGATTGACAAAGTCCCTAATGCTGTTCTAGAACAAGCCTTTGTTTGATTAATTTCACATTTTAAGCATTTTTTTTTATCAGAATGATTTAAAATGAAATCTAAAAATTTATCAAGTGTAAAATATCATTAGTTCATTAAGGTCAGAGGAGACGTTCCTCAAAATCTGTTTTGTATATCTTCGTAATGTATGAAAAATATTCAAAATTCTACATTCAACATTCTTATCTCTAAACAAGTTTCTAAAAGTTTTTAAAAAATCCAAACCCTTAAACATTTGAAACTGGAAAATTATTTTTCTTCCCCAATGGATTATATAAGAAAAACTACCCATGGTATCTTGCAGAAATGCCTGGTAAGGTACCTCAATTTTTTGTGAGTAAACATGTTTAAGTAGCAATACTTCAATGACAAACTCCTAGAAAAATTTATCTATTATCATGATTATTAAGGAATGTCTTGTTTGTCCTTAAAGTTGCCTTGACTAGGGATAATGAAATAAACAAACTTGAATTTATTTAAATGTAACTGAATATGTATGTATAGATTTGTTCCTGATTTCAGAATAAATTAAGGAATTTTTTTTTCAAAGGTTTTCAAAGCATTCCGCGACGAGAAATAACGTTTTAATTAATTATTATTGGAATTCGGAAAAGCGCGCTCTGGCTGACAGGAAGGGGGTTCGGTTTTTCGCCTATAGGTCCTATACGGATTAAGATAGAGACTTGGCATTAATTTTATTAAAAAGAGCATTAAATTTCAAGCAGGATTAAATATTTTATTTGTCTATAAAAGCCCCATACATGAACTGAGAGGCGATAGAGCAATAAATAATAATAAAAAACGGCAGGGGGTAGGGTAGGTATTTCGCCTCCTGTGTTTTTAAAAATGGCGTTATATATACGATTTTTATTTCTAAATGTTGCTGAATAAATGATCAAGAAGATAAAATAATATTTGGAAGGTTTTCAAAGCCTTACGCGACGAGAAATGAGGTTTTAATTAATTATTATTGGAATATCGCAAAAGCGCGCCCTGGCGGATGGGTAGGGGGGTTCGGTTTTTCGCCTATAGGTCCTATACGGATTAAGATAGAGACT